AGTCCTGATAAGGAGAATACTGTAATTTATGAGACTAGGATAATGTATATAAATTCGGGAGTATGAACTTTTGTTTATGCCTCGTTATCAAACACATGTAATTATGAGATCATGTCAACATGAAGGAAGGGCTTAGCCTTAACATACCTGGAGTAAGAAAAAATCTGTATGATATTCTTAGAAAAGGTTGCACCGTACTCCCTTAGAATCGCAAAATCTCACTTTGCTTAAAATGTTATGAAATCAAGTGCTCCATCGTGGGTTATTTTGGTGTTGTAGTAGGAAAATGTTATGAATTCTCTTCATATATTATAACGTCTGTTTTGTAATGTTTGTAATATGAAGAACATTATAAGATTACTTACTTGAACATCTAAAGGCCAAAATGCCAAGCTTCTAAGTATGTCTTTACACGTAGAAGAATGTAGTGTCTTGTGTTTAACATTTTAGTTTGCCACCTTTCAACTAGATTTATGAGTCACTTAATTTGAAGGTGGGGCTGCCACGTAGTGGAATCAACCTTATCCAATAATTACCTAATTAATTAGGTAATATCCCACTACCCAATAATTAACTAATTATCCACATAATTAGAAATTATCTCAACTTACTTAAAATACTACTCACTTTTAACATACCTTGTACACCTTACTATCATGGTCATGTAGTACCTTGTATGGCACTAGTCCATAAATACCAGGTATTATGGCTTGTACCGTATTTTATCCCAAATCAACAACCTTCAACGAAACTCATTTTCTTTGATTCGTTTACCCTTTATCTTTCACGGCACTTACTTATTGCTTGTTATAAATAGCATAAATGCTTATAACCTCAAGAAATTAACACCCCCGAGTCTACGTCAATTAACTAAAGATGAAACTTTAACGTACGAAAACGCGAGATGTAACAATTAGCTAACCAGTCCGAGTATTTAACTTCCCGAATGGAGCCTATTTAAAGGAGTTTAGATACCCCGTCTTTGATGAATACATGTTTGACCTCAGACTGACGCATCCTCTTCTATTTAACCGGGTGGAACTTCGAATCCAAACTCAATTTATGAGTGATTATCTCAGGTGGGATCCCTGTCATATCAAGATGGGACCAAGCGAAACAATATATGTTAGATATAAGGAATTCAATGATTTTTTTCCTATGCTTGGGAGTTAACCTCGTGCCCAAGTATACCTTCCGATCGGGCAAGTGTTCGATCAATATGACTTGCTCCAGCTCCTAGACCGTTGATTTGGTGGCATCGGAATCATCAGGGCGATGAACGACCTAGGGACACTGTAATCATCATCCTCTCCTGCTCCCCGCTCCTCCGGTTTGGTCGGGGCCGGTATTGGTGATTACTATTTAGTTTCTTCCTTCCTAATCGTTTCAGTGTTCTCTGGTTTCAAGAGCACGAGCACCTGGACACCTCATCGACTACGAACATTTCTGTTATGGTCGGCTGCTCTTCGTAAACCGTCTTGATTCTTCCCAATGTGGGGAACTTCAGTGCCTGGTGTAAGGTCGGGGGTACTTCCCTCATGTTGTGAACCCTAGGCCTTCTAAATAACGCATTATACCTCATGTCACCTTCGATCACATAGAATGTGGTGTCCTGAATCATCCCGGTGGTATTTACTGGCAAAGTTATTTCTCCTTTGGTAGCTTCTCATGCCATGTTAAATACGTTTAACATCCAGACTACCGGCACTATTTGATCTTGTAGCCCCAACTGTTCTACAACCTCGATCTGATGTTGTCGGTCGAGCTGCTCGGATCAATCAACGCATGATTGACACGGGATTTTTTTAAAAGTACGGATATTACCAGTGCATCATTATGAGGCTGCATGATTCCCTCGTCATCCTCGTCGCTGAACGAAAGGCTCCCTTCAGGATATAATCTTGAGTGCACTTTTCCCTCGTGATGGATACTTTTGTGCGCTTTATCAGAGGCCCTTGAGTGGCATAGACCCCTCCAATGATCATGTTGATGACGTGTTGAGGTTCTTCTTTCTTGGCCAGTTTGTTGGAGTCACTGTTCCTGAAGTGGTTTTTAGCTCGATCACTTAACAGTTGTGCAACTTCTTCCTTTAGTTGTCAGTAGTCCTAGGTCATGTGGCCATGAGTGCCATGATACTTACATATCAGGTTAGGGTCTCTATAGGTAGAGTCGAATTGCAATGATCGAGGCCACTTGGTCTCTTTGATGCGTCCAATGGCCGATTACGATGCTCACTGCGTCAATATTGAAGTTATACTCTAAGAATCTTGGAGCCTCCCTCCCCCCGAGTGGCCTGTCGAAACCATTTTTGCTCATCATATCTCTGTTATTGAGCCCTCGATCGATTCTCTTTTTGTTTCTCGTAGAGTTGTGCCCAGACCCGTTCCCCCTTCGATCTATACTGTACGGTTGACATCGATCTCGGACCGGCCTTGATTCATGATCGATGATTCTCTTAGGCCTGTCATCGGTTCTGATGGGATAGACAGACCCAAAAGGGGCTCCGAGTTGGTCATCCTCGACTTTGAGTCCTTGAGTAAATATATGAATGGCCAAATCGTCTGCAACCGGAGGCAAGTCCATCTGTTCAATTTGAAACCTCGATACGAACTCCCAGAGCATCTCGTTATCCCTTTGCTTAACCTTGAAAAGGTCCGATATTCAGGTCTCGACCTTCATGGCCCCGACATGAGCTTTCACAAAGGCATCTGCGACCATAGCGAACGAGTCAATGAAATTTGGGGGCAAGTTGTGGTACCATATCATCGCTTCTTTTGACAGAGTTTCCCGAAAGTTCTTTAATAACACTGACTTGATTTCATCGTCTTCCAAGTTGTTGCCTTTGATGGAGCATTTGTAGGAGGTCATATGCTCATTTGGATCCGTGGTTCGGTTATATTTTGGAATATGGGGATACGAAACCTCTTTGGGATTGGTTTCGGTGTCGCGCTCAGAGGGAAAGGCATTTAGACAAATTTCAAAGAGCTGGGGCCTTCAATATTGGAGGCGCTCCTGGGATTTGATCAACCCGGAAATTGTGTGTCTCTACCTTCTTCTCGTTTCCTCGATTTTCTTCTCACCATATTTCCCTCGTTTTGTTATTGCCTCTAACATTTTCATTACTTCAAGGGTGACACCGGACTCACCTTCGCCCGACCATTCGATGATCTGCTCATTTCTTTAGGTGTTTTCTCGAGGCGGTTCGGGCTCAACTCTGCTGGGGGCGTGACTTTGGTTTTGCAGTTGCGTTATCGCCGCCTACTGATCCTGCAACATTTCGAAGATCAATCGTAGATTAACCCCGTCTCCTTCGCCTTCGGGTGCTCCTTGAGCCGTTGGTCGGGCTCCTCCGCGAACGCTGCTTTCGTGGTTGGTAGGAAGGTTGGTGTCTATGGCTTCATGTAAGTTAACATCGTCTGGGTCTACGACCAAGGCCCCATTGGGATCAGCATGGGGCATCTCATTGTTAGGCACCAGATTGTTGTTTTTGCCATGATTGACAAACCCATCTTCAACGTTTAAGTTAACGGACTGAGAGTTTGACATTTTTAAGCTGACCTAAAATTAAGACCTTAAAGAACAAGTGTAAAATAGAGTGTGCTATGGAGATTTGTATCGAACCACCACTATTATCCTTAGCCCCACGGTGGGCGCCAAACTATTTACCCTTAAAATTGATAATAATTAAATTTGTACGTAGTTTTAAGGATATGTGAATTGATTCAACACGAGTAATCAAGAATGTTAGATAAACGAATCAAAGGCAGAATGAATAATCAAACCAGTTGTACTGCTATGGCACAACTTGAACTTGGGTTGGACAATGATTTTGCCCTCAATCGAACCCTCTGTTCGGGTCCAATAGAGAATGAATAACAAACAATAAAGTAACAACTTTTCTATAGCTAGAGAGTAGTAAACATGAAATTATATTGTCTTGGTATGTGTGTTACAGTGCCTCCATTGAATAAAAATTATCTCCTTAATATAGTAGGAGAGTTTCATCCCTAGTACAATTCTAAAAAAGGTAAGAATCCTCTTTTTCGTTAATCAATGATCTGTTGCCGATACGGGCCGAGATTCGCACCGTGATATCTGGTTGGGCGCGGATATCACGGCCCTTCTTTTAGTCGTGTGCAACCGTTTGGTAATACTTTTCCGAGGTCTTGGAGCTTGAACCGGATCCGGGGGGCGTGGTCTCGATGGCTCCGATAGTAAGCGCTTTGTTCGGGCCTTAGCATGAGAGGTTCCTAGCTTCGATTCCGATTCCATGTAGTTATGTCCTTGCTTCGTTTGCCCCACCAGAAAATCCGGGTGCTCATTAGCCCCGATTTTACCCGTATACAAAATTAATCCTTGGAACATAATCATGTGTTACTAAACTAATTAAAACATCTTTTCTTAATATTTTTATTATATATAAGTGATCGAGATTCGAGGGAAAAAACAAATAGGGGAGGAAATTACTAAGTTGGGGAATCGAATCCTATCCCACAACGTGAAAATTCAGGCAGTCCACAAACTGGACTGCTAAGATTCCTCGGTTTGAAAATTGTCCTTTACTTAATGTTGTCTTAGAAAAAAAAAAATTAAATTTAGAAAGTTATAAATTTAGCACTTTGAAGACTTCATTTGAGGAAGAAAAGAAGCTCCGCGAGGAACTTGAAAGCTTATGTATTTGAACGTAGCATACTATTTATATTTTTTTATATAAGGTTATGGGTGGGGGTCTGAATCGATCTGGCTCACGGGTCAAATATCGGTCCATTTCGTTCCATGCCTGGGATCCAAGAGGGACAGGCCCGGTTACCCTATCGACAAGGCCCACACCTCTATAGCTGGCACCTGGACCGGTTAAGTCCATTCTTATCATGCCAGGCGGATATAGTTGAAGGGCTAACCCGACCCGTTTTCAAGCCAGTTGGGTTCTAAAATCTTTAATTGCATAAATAAATATAGTAATTAGAAGGTGGGAGCAAATAGAAGTGGAAAAGTAGAAATGCTGGAAGAAGCTTTGGAATATTGGATACCCATTTGTTTCAACTGAAAGTTAGTACAATTTTCCAAACAGTGATATATCCTCTTTCTTCTTCTCTAAATAAAATCAAATTTGTGCTTAATGCTTATCCCCTTGTTGAATAAGAATTACTATAGGGAATAATAATCTCCTTTAAACGCAAAGACATCTTTACGTGGAGATTGTACAAAATAAAAAAAAAATCAAGATTTAATAACACCAAGAACTGATGCTTGAAGTGACAAGGAATGCTTAGCATCACCAATATGAAGACTGTGTTCACCTATAGGAATTCTTCGAACACCAGCCTTATCTACCACACTTAAATACTTGCAAACATGAATATTTATCGCCACTCGTTGCAGCGACCCCGCCGGGACATGCACTTTTTGAAACGCGACCAATTGTTTATGTGGCGCCCAAAGTCCAATGGGCGGCTTTGAAAATACGAGCAATGTTTGCGTACCGTCCTTTGATCCTACGTTCTTCACGTCGATATGAACTTGAATTGATAACTTGCTGCATTTTGCATGTGTTACTCTGATTGCCTTGCTTGTTGTGATTGTGGTGTTGGAAGCATGGCGACCAAATATTGGAATTGCTAACATGTTTGGAGCTTCAGCAATTGTGTTTATGAATTTAGTGTAGCTTAATCCATGCCCAAATGGGTAGACTAATGGACCTTTGTAGAAACGGTAAGTTCTTCCAGGGTAACCTTTGGCTAAGTTTGCACGCATGTCCATTGTTGTCATTGGTAAATTGTTTAGGTACTCCTGTGGGTACCATGTCATTGGCAGCTTCCCACCTGAAAACATGTTTTACTTGATGGTCAATTACACTTATATACGATGATAATACATAGAATTTTTACTCTATCTAACATATTTTAACCTGTTTTAACCGGTGGCGGATTTGTATGTGAATAAATCAATAGAATTTTAATAAATTTAAAATTTTGAACCCGTAACTTTAAAAAGGTAATAGGTATGTGGTAAGAACATAAACATAAATCTATCGAGTTTAAATTCTGAATTTACCTTTTGCTATCCACATATTTCGTATCTTATGTTTCAGGTTGCAAAATCCAATATTTGTGGACGGTTACTTATAATTATCTTTTAGGTATATGGTAGTGTAAAAATCTTCAGCAATTTATAGAAGTTAAGCTCTATATGATTCTCTATATCCTATTTCCCTTTACTCACTACAATAAATGTTGTACCATAAGAAAAACAGAACGGGCCCAAAAGAAGAAATAGAAATCCATTTTTGTGGATCTTGCAGTGAGTTTACCTGGATTATGGGCTCCAAAAAGGACATCAGCAATGGCAGCACCACCAGCTTGTCCAGGATAACCAACCCAAACAATACCACTAATTCGTGGATCCTTCTCAGCAAATGTAACATCAACTGGGCCTCCAGACATAAGGACCAATATAACAGGACCTCTCGAGGCCTTGGATACTTGGGAAATGAGATCTTGTTGGAACCCAGGCAAAAGCAGCCCAGTTCTGTCTCTGAATTCAGCCTCTATAGATTGGTCCAGGCCCATTACTAGCACCGTTGCGTCCGCTTGACGTGCAGCATCTACAGCTCCAGGAAATAGTCTATCATCAGAGCAAGCTACATCACCACAACCTTGTTGGTGAATGGTCTTTGCATACTTGGCTATTCCTTGTAATGGGCTTGTGTATCCACATGCAACACCTACATTTTTAAAAAGCTCAATTACTCTTCTTTCAACATAATTAATACTCTCTCGTCTCATTTTATGTGTCTGTGTTTGACTGGATATGGAGTTTACCTGCGTAATTTCCAATCATTGTGACGGTAACATCGGAATTAGGTCCAATGACAGCAACAGTAGGATGGTGTCGAGGAGAAAGAGGAAGAGCAGGCCCATGATTCTTGAGAAGAACAATGCCCTGTCTAGCAGCTTCAAGGGCGAGTTCTTGGTGGGCCGGGCTGCAAACATCTCTTGGGCCAAGGTTTCCATAAGGTTGGGCTGATGTTTCTCCATCAAACATTCCAAGCCTCATCTGAACAGCAACTGTATTAGCTAAATTGGTATCTATAGAAGCCTCTTTAAGGATACCGCTTTGCACTGCAGTTTCAGTATGTTGGGCCAGAAAAGGCCCACAGTCCAAATCAAGGCCCGCTTGGATAGCATCAGCAGCAGCTTCCTCAGGTGTTGATGTGTAGTGTTGATTTTCGTAGAAAACTCCGACGGAGTCACAGTCGGAGACAATGTAGCCGTTGAGACCCCAACCGCCGCGTATGGTTTTGCGAAGAAGTTCTGGATCAGCACAAGTAGGTATGCCATTGACTTGATTGTAAGAGCACATTACACTAGCCACCTTACCTTCTCTAACACAACTTCTAAATGGTACGTCGAATGTATCTTCCATGTCTTGCTTGCTAACCTGTGTACATTGCCATAATTGTTAAAAAAAAGGTTTCATAATATTGTAATGTTTCATGCAAATGATGTCTTGTTTTCTGTAACCTATGGACATGGCCATGAATTGTTCCAAAAAAAAAAAAAAGAGAAGTAATGGTTTCTTAATTTTGCAATGTTTCAAACAAATGATATTAAACGAGGCATCCTAGATAACTTGTATAGTTTAGCAATTTGTGAACGGAGAGACCAATCCCCAAATTAGAGGTGATCAACATGCTTAAAATATAAAGGTTATTGGTGGACCTCTTGATACATACATATATAATCTTTAAATTAAGTGCATAAATACAGTCTATATATTTCCATGGCAATGGTGCACGTACCCCAATTATGTATATGCTGGATTCGGTATTACTGGGGACAGTTCAGTAGCAAGGATCACAATTCAAATCGTAATGTTACAAATTTAAAGTAATAGCCACCTGACAGCTATTGATTCATTGGTTTCACATTCCATGTTACAACAATATCAACCCAGTAGTAATTCCACTAGTGGGGTTGGAGCGTTTCACATTTCATATTAATGAATGAAATATAGCATGGCCTAAGTTTGAGTCTAGTGTTAGATATACTATTTTTTATTGGTAGCTGGTATATGCATTCCAGGTATCCATTCGAACTAGTATATATAAACTTCATATGTCTCATAATTTATGTGGCAATGTTTGACTAGATATAAAATACGAAAAAGAAATAAAGACTATTGAAATTCAAAAGTCATAAATAGTCATCTCATTAGAAGTTAAATAAAAATTTTAAAATTAAATTATTTCTAATTTAAAAATTGACTTTTCTGGGGATAGAGTAAACAAAAATATAAAATTAATTAGGATCCAGGGAGTAATAAAAAGTTTTTATAATAAAATGTAGGGAAATTTTCTATGCGTCTCAGTTTGCAAGAAAATCTAAAAAAAAGTATGTCTGGAAATACAAAAAGTGATGGTGCCTAGAAGTGCTGAGTGGTCAGAAAGAGAAAAAGGGTGGGAATTTCACGAGATGTACATACAATTATACTACTACATTTCCAGAATTGAAAAAGATTTATGAATAGTAGTGACGTATGGAATTACCTTAGCATTAAAGTGGAATCTATCGACCCCACTCCAGTTATCAAGATCGTAAGCAGTGTAGTGCTTGCAACATGCCGCTACTTTCAGCCGGTCACCTTCCTCATTTCCCTGTAACCCTCTCACGTAGCGCTCAGCGTATATACCGGCCACCACTGGATCCTCACCGGGAGTCTCCTGTCCCCGGCCCCACCTTGGGTCTCTAAATATGTTCACGTTTGGGCTCCAATATGTCAGACCTCCCATATCTCCATTGTACATTGCTCTTCCTTCATCTGATACTACCTGCAAAAAATTTGAGACTTAGTCCCTCCGTGATTTCAAATTAATATATGCTAATAATCGAACTAATAAATATAATTAAATGTTATAACAATCTATATTGTATGGGTAGTGTAAATATTATTTTCTTTGTTCTATTTTGTCTGATATTATTCACTTATTAGTCAATTTAACAAGAGTACGTTTTTATATTTTTCCATCTAAACTATGAAACCCCACCCCAACCCCCTCTTATATTTAATCCTTATTATTGATAAGGGGATGTGACCTTATATTGAATACCATGCCTGGTCAATTCTGGCAAAGTTGCAACTTGGCTGATACCCTTACAAATAGTAGTCATTGTGGAAAAAGTTATGGCCTATGGGACCCAAAGTGTCGTATCGACCCATCCACAAACTTGCCTAACTTTTTCTCAAGCAGTCAATCCTCTGATTGGTTGCAAGTTACAACTAGCACAGAAGAAAGAAAACCTCAACTACACCTTTTTTTCTACATCAATCCCATTACCCCACTCCTCTTTCGAATTAAAGTCACGGCTACCTTAGCTTTTGCTTTACATATGCAAATGACATTACCTAACGGATACTATATATATTATGAAAAATAGACTATATATCTTTATATTATATAACTGAAACCAAAGGAGATGGGATTACTATAAATTAACGAGTTACTCCAGTGATGGATCACATCACGAGTTGTCAAATCCTAGTCCTTAGTCAGGGGAAGGAAAAGTATTTCGCTTCTAATTTTCTTTCTTTGGCGGTTAAAAAATATATAAGTCAATGGATGGATAAGATAAACAAACAAGAAGTCGCCCTCTTCTTTTGAAAAAAAAGTGTTCATCAAAGATAAACTTAATTGATGCCAAAGCTCTAGTTTGAAACATCAATTTGTGTTAGGATGTCACACGTTAATTTGAGAGAAAAGTTAGGCTGTAGTCCCTTTGTATGATCTTGAATGTTTAAAGTGTGATGGAAGTCCAATATTAAAAAAACCAAGATATTGATGGGTTCGATTATGTTAAGAAAATGAATCTTTCGCATTAGACCTAACTTAAGGTTAAAAACTAAGTGAAAATTGTCAAAAATCTTGTAGGAAGACAACAACACATTTCTTTAACCAATACTCCTAATAACATTAACTCCGACAAAATGCGCATAGGTATAATATCCTATTGAAAGTATAATAGGTTGTAGACTCTTTATAAAGTAATATCAACTCGTACTTATTCTTGACAGTATTTTGTTCTTAACTAACAAATAATTTGATATTATAATAATCTCTATGTAGTTAGTGTCAAGATATGTTTAAAAAATACCCACCGCCAACAATCAGCAATTCCATGCAGTCGCATGAATCGAAAAGTAAGATCTTTACTCTGCTCTACGCCATAGACAAAGTTACAAGAACATTATCCTTAACCTTACAAAAGTATGCTTAGATAATATAATACATATAACTATTATAAATTGTAAGTGTAGTTTAATTGTATTTACCGCATACTTATTTGTATTTATCACATCACCAATTAATGATTATTACTAATATCATGTATGTAATTACTTTATAAGTGAATATCAATAGTAACATTACGACAACAATAACAATGTATCACCGAACAAGTTAGAATCAGCAATATGACGAAGCATAAAATAAGTACCATTATACTATCTTAATACTTACCCGTCCAATTTCTTCCCACAAGGAAGCGTTGAAAGAAGCAGCAGTAGTAATGACTTGAGGGAAGCTGGTGGCTCCTGGAAAATCACCTCCAAACTTAGTCCCTGGTCCTACATTTGACACTCCATGTAGTGCCTCCGACCACCACTCATAGCCTTTAATTCCTAGCCTCGGCACAGCTGCAGCAGTGTTGCCCAACAATTTCACTTTCTCTTGCAATGTTAACCTCCCAACGAGGTCCCTTACTCTATCACCAATTGCCAAATTGGTTTGACAAAAAGGAAAATTTTTGGTAGCCCTATCTCTTGGGTCACAGGCAAATGGGGGACGAGCTTGAACAGATATTGCAATAAGAAAGAAGCAGAAAATGAAGAGAGTGGAGGTGGGGTTGCTGAGGCCTCCACTCATTTTTGTGTTTGTGGGAAGAGAATATTTTGTGAGAGCTTTGGATGTAAAAAGAGGAGAATATATAGAACTGATGAAACAGAGTTTTTGATTTGTTTCAGTATGGCTATTGGCTGGCTAGTGGTTATTATGGAATTAATGATGCATGAGATGATGGGCAATTCACCTTTTTAACAACTGATGGTTGATGGGGGTTATACACAATATTTTCGACTTATATTATATATCTAAATAAAATGCTTTTAAAAAAGAATTCTTGTTACATTTGCATTAATTGTTATAAAAAAATAACAGAGCAACATTACTTTAAATTCTTGGATTCGTAATTTCGTATGTCGTACAAATAGCGCGTTGTTCATGACCGTCAGATCACCATGATGCTTGTTTCACTGTTTAAAGGGATTAAGCTTACACATATATAGGATAAGGTTTTATACTTCTTCTTTTTTAATCTTTTAAGGTGAAAATGCGTTGCAACTTGCAAGACCAGTTGATGTTGAGTGTTGACTAGGAGTTCGTATTATTTAACCAAATCGTTTTTGATATAGCGGCGCTCAACTTCCTATCTTGGACGTGTCGGATAATGCTTTCCAATTTTAAAATATACTGTAACACACACACACATTAAGGTCCCCTGAATTTTTTCAGAGGATCTAAATCTTTTACATGTATCCAACTTATTAAGTACGTTACAACCACTTATTTGCTGTAAATATGGATAAGTTAGCATGTCGAGGAACATAGAATTAAAGAAGAAATTATGTTTCAAGTACATGTTGCATTAATTTGATCAGTAGGTTCTTGCACTGTATATATATATATTTGATATGGTTAATTGGAGAGGCTGCGAGTTCATGGACATTATATGTGCTGATAAATATATGGAAAGTTAGATGTTAGGCGTTATGCCAAAGCTTTCTTGTAAATTTTCAACAGTTTAATTTCATAAAGCGACAAGATTTTGACAGCTAAGAAATAATGATCAAGAAATTTACAAGATGTCCTTCAGATAAAATATAAACAAGGAACACTACATGAAATGAGATCTTCATTGGCGACCGTTGCGTGACAACCTAAGAATTTGCCACAGTTTTGGAGGCGTTTAATAGTCACATGAAATTAGGATTTAAAGCATTACAATTTGAATTAATCATCTAAGATTTTAATATATTTCAGTTGGACCTACATTTTCTAAAACTTCATCATCTCTGGTTGCAACGATAAAAAATTTAAATTGCGCCCTTAATAACAATAAAAAATTAATAGTGCAACCTTAATATAACCGCAACAAAAAATAACACACATGAGTTGCGATAAAAAAGGGATCTCCACATGAAGTGCAACTAAAGATTAAATTTGCCTCTCCTCCGAACAAAAAAAAATGAGTGAAATTTCTCTTGTAGCAACCTATTAATATCCATCACATATGGTGATATATCTTTTGTGGCGACAGAATAGTCACGAAAATCCCCTGTATTGTTTAAGAATGAAAGAGCTAATGCTGAAAAACAATTGTGTTTTATTTATTTATCTTTTCTTTTTTGGGGTCCAAACACGTTTTGCGTCCATCTCAAATTTGTATCTGGTATCTTTTTCATATGATTTATTGGATATTTGCAACAAAATTACGTAAAGGGAGTAATGTACTAATGTTAGTTAACTTTGCTTAAAAGAGTGGATTACATGTAAAAGACAGGGGTCAGAGGCAGAAAAATATGGCTGCCAAAGGTCCCACGCTTGGGCGGCGTAAATCGTAATTTTTCGTACAGGCAATTATTGTTGCATTGCTTCACTGAGGCGATTGCAAGCAAAGAAAGCACCCCTCATATAGAACTGAATATATCCTAAACAGATATATTGAAAGAAGGAAAAAAAAAAAAAAAGTGGATAGCTTTTTAGTTGCATCAAATCCTAAATAATTAATGCCACACTCACAAGTCAATACACAATAGGGAAGTAAATGAACTAGGGATAAGAGATTTTGGGTTATTTTATGGGATATATTCCTACCGAATACTTTAGGAGCAATGACCAATCCGAATATATTATTTATCTTTCAAAGTTTTCCACCATTCTTTAAAACAATATTTTATATACTTACGATGAAGTGTATTTGTCTAAATTAACTTTCACTCCCCTTTAATGTGTCACTCCATATTAGTATGTTAAAAGGGGTATGAGACGGAGTATTTTTCTTAATATTTTAAGTCGTAAGTCCCGAGACATATGACTTAAACCTCACGGATCTTTAATTTTTCAAATTATAAATTAATGAAATAGCATAATAATACAAAAGTTACAAAAATATTTTAAAATTTTTAATTTTTTAGAAAAGATTAAAGAAGCTCATAGAAAATAAAATATCTAGTATGTTTTCATAAGTATAAACAATACAAAAATGTTAAAGTTATTATGAGATACAAATCAACTTAACATCTTGACTTTTAAACTATTAAAATATCATAATTTCTAAAAAATTATTATCAAACTATACTTTTACCTTTCTAAAAGTAAATAATTAATAAATTTTATCAGTACTATAATTTAAAACATTACTCCTTTATGAATAATAATACAAAAAATGCTTTCAAATATTAAAATAATAATAGATTAATAATTTTGAGAGACATAGAACTAAGATACGAAGTCTAATAGCACGATATAAATTTCATCTATCTATATTCAGAAGAAATGTTCATACAATATTCACCATCTTATTTAGTAAATATGCAATAATATGGCTCGTTATTTAAGTTACTCTCAATCATTCATATTTTTACAAATGGATAGAACTTTTATCATTTGTCTGTTAGAATTTGTAGGGTTAATGGTGCTAATTAGGGAGTTTCACACATAATTTGTGTAGGAACTATTAAGCCGGAGTTGAGCGTTGAGCGTGTTTAGGGCACATAATCGGACGCTTGGGACATAAGTATCACAGGACTAAGCCCTACACGTGAGCCCCAAGGCGTTTTGCTAAGTATCCCATCCACGGGCGAGTCCCAAAAATGCCTCAATAAAACACTCGACTTCTTAACATAACATTGTTAAATCTGAAGGAATATAATTATAATACTCTGCCAATCCACGAATATGATTTTGATATATGGCATCCTAGCATTAAATACGATGATTATTATTTAATTTTCCTTTCTTCCAAACGTATTGTAGGATGCAGATCGGACCAATCTTTGCATGGATCTAATCTTGACAATCTTTTTTCTTATTTTATCAGTGTTATTATAAGATGATGGTAGGATAGTAGCTGGGTTATGGACGACAAAATTTCGACATCCTCAGTAGTCGGTTTTGTTTTTCTTTTCACAAATTGGATTTGGTATTCTTGGGAAGGTACCATCACTTCCTTCAGTGCGTTTTCAATTAATCATCACAATCCTTACTCTTCTTTTTTCTTTATTTTTGTCGGGAAAAAAGATGTACAGTATAAAATATCGTACTTTTTAGATTGTTGATCTTTTCCAAGATGTATAATCAGGATTATATTCATTTTTTGTATAACATTGGTTTAAATGATAGCGCACAGATGGGATCTCAAGCTTTGGGACTATTAGTTGCGAGTATTGTTTACTCTAAAAACGGATAACAATTAAATTTATATTTAATTTTAAGGATATGCAGAATAATTCAAAATAAATGATAAATGGCGTTAGATTAAACAGATAAAGATGTAACAAATTATCAAACCAATAAGGAGAGTGACTCCGGACTTAGTAACGTCTTAATGAAATGTATGTCTTCGATCCCGGGCTCAAACTAATGAAGAAATGATGAACAAAAGTAAGAATTTTGAATAACAGAGAAAATAAGAGTATATTGTCTTTATATGCATGTTACAATGTGTCCCATGAATAATAATCTTCCCCTTTTATATAGTAGGGGAGTTTTACTCCAAGTACAATTCTAAAAAAGATAAAAATCTTCCGTTTTGCCGATCACTAATACGAGTCGAGATTCGCGTCGTGATATCCGGTTAGGCACGGACATCACGGCCCTTTATTAGTCGTGCGCAGCTACTTGGTAATGCTCTCCGAAGTCTTCAATCTTTAGATCGGCCCTCGAGGATATGACCCTGATATCCCCGAAGACAGGCGCCTTGCCCGAGTCCTAATACGAGGAGTTCTTCGTTCTGATTCCGATACAATACAGTCATGTTCCTGCTCCGATTGCCTCACCGGGAAGACGAGTCATGCAGCGGGCTCGATTTTACCCGTATACAAATATAAAATGGTTATGTTTTTGCGGATCATAGTCAAGCTGCGATATTTTTCTTGAATGTCCGGCCTTTTGATCAAATTAGTAAGATAATCTAATCTTTTCAATTCCGGCGTCTGATGACATCCGTGAGAACGTGACTAATTTAAAACTGTATAGCATTTAAAGCAAACAAAATGCAAAAAAATAATTAATTGTCTAGGGTATACTAACATAACTACATAATTACGTTAAAAGTCATAAACAAATTCAGAGAAAATTAAGATGAAACTGCTCTAGCGTACAAGACATATGATTCAAAGCACAAAGCATGCATAGGACATTTTTGGAGCGTATAGGATAAAAGGACCACTATTAAAGGTTTGCACCAATTAATTTTAAATCTCAAATCCGCAACGAGTAATCATGTTGTTTGACCAAAAAATACGGACTTTGGTCAAATAATTAGATTTATGTGAATAAGGGTTAATCTTAGCTATTAACAATATCTTTAAATGAAGTTCTTAAAGAAGCAATAAATATCACGCAAGTGTGGTCGGTAGTAACAGTGATGTATAGTAAACATTCCACAAATCAGAAATAATGGTGTTGCATTTAATAACAATGAATATCAATAAATGGCATTTACGCAAATAGAGGAAAGACGAGTCATGCAGCGGGCTCGGTTTTACCCTTATACAGATAGTCCCCTCGTTTCTCAGAGAGTATGGTTGCCGAAACGATGGAAAACGACAGATGACTCCGGTTCCTTCCTGCGTACGTTTCGACGGGGAGCTAAAGCGTCCCATCAATCGCGTCATTCTGACTTCGAACATGTGTCGTTCTGACTTCGGACACGTGTCGTTCACCGCCAGGTAGCCTTCGAATGCTAAGCGTCGGTTGTCTCTCTATAAAAGCCTCATTCCT